TGTTATTAGCACTCCTCTCTAATAGTCACTTGAGGGAGTCTGTCATCAATCTTAATAATGCCATCAGCATTCCAGCAGATGGCAAACATGATTCCATGCACTCCCATTGCACCAGAATGGATTCTCACCACAATTTTAATTACAGGTGAGAAATGTATCAGAAAGAGGCTTTTCTCATGCTGGTATTTCCAAAGTTTTTTTTCCAGACAGGACAAAATTGTACTGTTTTATCTTTTTTGTTGTTTTTTTATTATTATTTCACTATGATTGAGGGATTTGCAGATACTACCAATTTGCTCAGCACAAGAATTGGCCTCAAATAATTTCTGTGTACTCTCCAGCAAAGCAGTCTTGTTTTGAACTAGAATTTGAGATACCAACATTTTGTAGACCTTGTAAATGTTAGCAAATGTTAGGAGTCAGTTCTGCAAAGAGCATTGAAACAATTATTTGAAGAGAACCCTAACTTAATATTAAAACCCAAGTAAAATGCATTAACAGATCAAGATTTTATGTAACTTTAAAGCAACATATTTGATTTGCAAACACTCATCCTACTGCTCCACTCATGTCCTACCTCCCTGTACAATTATCAATTTATTATTTTCCTTTCAGCTTATGCTTTTATCTTTTCTCTTTGGGCCTATTCCTTCTACCCCTCTTTGTCCATTCTTACACATGCATCCTTTTAGTAGTCACCACATATAAAATGAAAGTTAGGTGTTAGACAGCTTTCCTTTAGGTAGCAAATGTAATGAATAAAGTCAACACACACAATGAGGAAGAATGCATCTTCTGAATACATTTAAAGATATCCTTTAAAAAATATTAAATACCTTAAATATTATCAGCAGATCTGAAAATCTACTGTATTTGCTGAATGCAAATTCTCCTTGCAATCCAAGGTAATTCTATTTATGCAGAAAAGGTAGTAGTAATTTGGTAAATAGTTTTCCTCTATTTAAAACTTCATGTGTTCTGGCTTACTGACTTTTAGATTAGTACAGAACTGGATAGCAAGTGGAAAATTCACTATCTAAATGAAGCATAGCCACTCAGTAGGCCAGTGAAATTGAAATCTTTACTGTTGGCATTTCTAACTGCAATGATTGCATATTCCTTGAAATTTGGCACTCCAGTGCCAAATTTATTCTTTTCATCATGTCTAGAGTATGAGATCAGAACATAAAAATAGCTTCTTGTGTCACCTTTTTCTGAGAAGTACATACAAAAATAGAATACATTATCAGAGGCAGTACATAAACCTGAAGTAATTACATGACAGGAAGTTACTTGACTATGGACAGACTTCAACAAATTATATCCAACAAAAATGAAATTGTATAAATGCTTTTTACAGGGTGCTCAACAGAACAGTTTATATCCCAGTTAAATACCTTATTCCCACCAAGACCACACATAGTTACAAAAGCTTGATATGAACAGAATGCTGCATTAATCAGAAAGAAAAAAAATCCTTACTTTTCATTTGTCAAGTTTTGCAAGAGTTGCATATATTAGCCTCTAATTAAGTACCTCTTGGCACTACCTCAGTGCCTTTTCAAATGTTAATTCTGTCCTTATTAAGAAGATGTCTTTGACATCCTCTGTCATTAGGTTATCTGTATAGATACCCCAACAGAAAAGAATGTAAATTAAATCTATCCTGATTAAACTGAGTTTATGGTAATCATAACACTCTTCAATAACTTTTTCACAGTAGGAAATCCTGTGAAATTCTGAAAATAAATCTGAGCTCTAGCACTGCAGCTGGAGCCATCATGCAAGAAAATCATTGCCCCAAGGCCCTCACTAAGGCAGGGATGCTCTTTGCAAAATGGGGTTAGAGCAGCTTGAGACTGAAAGTACCTTCTGCCATAGTAGCCCACATCTTAGAAGTATCTCCATAAGAGAAGTTACATGAAAACCCCCAGTAGAGCCAATATTCCTGTAATTCATATTAAAAATGGTCCAAAAAGATATACTAATATTTTCTAAATTCCTATTAAAATTCATGTGTAAAATACTAAGTTATTTAAATTTTATAGGTAATGAAATTGTTACCACAGAGATGTAAATTTGAAAAAAAGCATCATAGATACATGCTACAAGTTAATAAAATTCAGAGTTAAGAGAAATGCAAATCAAATTTATATTGGTCCCTGGTTTCCAAGAATAATAGTAAGAAACAGTAAATTCTGAAATTTTTAGCTATTACTGGTATCTACAGAAAAAAAACAAAAAAGGATTAGAAATCACAAAACAAACAAACAAAATGACAATTACCAAAAAAACCAATTACAAAACAAAACCAAAACAGAAAAAAAACCAAAATAAAAAAGCCCAGCCTAGATGAGTTTGTTCTCAGTGATGCCAATGGTAATTGAAAACACAGTAAATTTTGAGTTGTCTGTTTTGTTCTAATACTGTAGAAGTTAGAACATCATTAAAGTGATTCTCTGGTGTTCACTTGGGAAAGCACATATAATGCTGGGGCAAGATGATCCTGAGGCTGTTCTCATTTACACAGGTACTGGCTGCCTGCAGTACCTGGAGGAGCCAAACGTGACCTAACAACATAGACAGCTGCATTTTCTTTTAATTTCTTCTCTTGCTCCCCATCCTTCATTTCTCCTCTGCAGAGTCATTTCTGCATCATGGATTGTCTATAAGACAATAGTGGTCAGCTCTTGAGTGGTTTTAAACCAAAATACCATAATTAATACTGGGCTGTAATTGTAACTTTTAACCAACTCTGAAAGAGAGTACAAAATTAATAGCATTTTTAAGCCACAGCCCTTCCCACACAAAATACTCTATTCCTTTCAGCCACGTGCTGTCTCCTGCTACCCCTGGCACACAAGCATGTCATTTTTCTCAGCACACTCACATTATGGCCAGGCTCTCTCTCCTACCTGTGCTGCCACCACCACTGCTGTGTATTGTAACCCAGGCTGGTCACAGAGCTTGTGTCACTGGCACTGCGCCACTGTACCACTTCTGACTGGGGTGTACACCCTGAGAGTATCAACAGACTAGTGAGGAAAGAGCATGGAGGTCTCATGGAGCAGAAGAACAGCTACTTTCTTCCCTCCAGAAATCTTTATCTTGCTATTAGCCTCCAAAATACTTTCCATAATAGTCAAGGAAAATATGCTCCTAACTGTAAAAGCAGTAAAAGAATAATTAGAATTAGTTTAAAACCAATTATGTTTTGTTTATATTATTGCATCTGTCAAACTGATAAATAAAAGGCAACAAACCCCAATATTAGTATTGGCTAATATCCTCTGGACCACGTTTAGGTAAATTTGTTTAGGTTTTCCAGTGTATCATTTGTACCTCCTGGCCTGTCTGCTAAAACCACCCACCATATCAGAGATCATTTTTCAAGTTTAATTCAGGAGCAGCTGTGGTTGTTGGGAGGAACAAAGTGGGAAGAGGGGACAGACTGGTGTAACAAGATAATGGATGATTGGTGATACCTTAGGTATTTTATCCAGAAAAGGGGGCTTTACAATACTCCTGGTAATAAAACACCTTTAGCCTCTGTGGTCGAATATTTTTTTTCAGTGCTGACACATCATGCAAAAACTTCCTGCAGCTGTCAAGCAAGAGCTACTGTAAGGCACAGAAGTAGGCAGACTGTTAAAAAATGGTGGATTTCCACAAGACATAACCTATTGTACATGTGCTGGAAGGAACACTCCTGCAATGAATGACTGCTGGCCAGGATGTGAAATACAACCCATATTTAAGATAAAAACTAGCAGCAGGTCTGAGAAAAGCATAAATTTATTAATGATGGGTGAAGCACAATTGTCCTTGATTGCCAGTGATGCACTCATTTAAAAAGTACATTTTCAATGTTTGCTCACTTTTAATTTCATAAAATCCAAGGTGAACACATATAAATTGCTTACATTTTACTGCAAAAATGGCTTTTACAATTTATTTTTCATTATTTCATTTGTAAGATTTGTATTTGAGAATTCGCTAATTTCCAATGCTTTTTTTTTTTTTTTTTTCAGTAGTTATGGGAAAATACTCTCCAGCCTAGGATAATCAACTCAGGGGTCAAATTATTCTGCTTCTTACACAAACCATGCATATTATCTAAGTCTAAAAGCAGTTAGAAGTTACTTCAGTGAGATCACATACAAGGATAGCACAAAATTTGTATACAATAATAAAGCAGCCTGCAAACAATAAAAAGGAAGTAGTCTAATGAAGCCTGTACATTTTGAAAACTTACGGCATTTAATTAATTAGGGCTCTAGCAGATAAGAGCTGCAAAATCTTGCTGGAGAGATTTATGCTGTCACCAGACCAAGCAGCTAGTCACTTTTTATTTATTCTTTATTTATTCTTTTTCAGGACAACAGAAATGGACATGCAGTGAACCTTTCAAGTTATTCTCTTGAAAAAAAAAAAAAGTCTATTTTTGCTACTGGAGCAGTTTCAGTTATTTACTTAACATAAGAGCTGTAGATGAGATTTTACAGCCATTGGATCCAACTCCATACTGACTAGCAAACTGCATGGAAGGAAGGAGAAGCACCCCAAAACGCCAAACTGCAACACATTAAAGACTTGGTTAGCAATAATTTACCCATTTTGCCTTGAAGGGCCGAGGCCACAGAACGATTATGAGATGCTGATGATATTATGTAAACTGTATGGAACATTGGCCCACTACTGTGATAACCTAAATTCAGTCGTAAAGTCACAGCAGAATTGAAAATTAAATTTCTGAAGTACAAAGCCTATGTACATCTGATTACCAAGACCTCGCTTGCTGTTTTTACATATTCTTACATAATGATAAATCCAGTTAATAAAATTCCCTCTGTCAACTTTTCTGTGTACAAAAAGTGTTTAAAAGAGCAACTGGTGTTTAATCCATTGGCTCTCTGTACACTCCTTTTGCCCCAAAATCCACATTTCTTTCCTACTTAATAATGTGTAACATATATCCTGCTCTTGATGTCTTCTAACAGGAAACAGAAAGTGAGAGAAATTCACTTTCATCACCATTGAAGAGTCAGCCTGGGAACCAGTCTGCCATTTCTCAGGAGGAGTCTAGCGTGAAAAGAGGGAGAGCAATCTTTGAAAAGATGTCATCAGAAAATGGCCAAAGCAACAGCTCAGAAGGTGAGCATTACCACATTGATACTTTGCTTTAAGACAGTGGTCTCCAGACCTTTTTGATGGCCACCTCTACCATTAACATATTTATGAGTCTGCCCTCCCAATTTTTGTACATTTATTTACAAATAATGTGCCTGTACTACTCTACTAGTACAACTGTAGGCAAAATGCACCAAAATAAAAATTAAAGTAGGATGGATTAAAAATTAAGCATTTAAAAAGTGTTTATTCACAAAAAAATATTAGATTCCTGCACCCCAAAGGACTGTGTTGCACATCCCCTGGGGTACAGATATTCTGCTTTGGAGACCAATGCTTGAAGATATTAAAAAGTGGCTATATCTGTGCTTTGGTTTGTTTTAACAGAGAAAGAATATGCACAATCAAATTTATGATTAGAAACCACTTATTGACTTCTGGGTGTCTAGGACTTGACCTTATATAAAATAACAGATTACCCAAATAAATAGCATTAAAAGACTTGTCCAGTCTCCCAATAAAATTAATAAGCCTTCTACAAAATATCAAACAACTATTGATTCCACTCTTTTTTTGATCGGAAAATGTTTAGACTGCATATTTATCTATGTCAGATAGATAGAGAATTTTAAAGGGAAAGGGAAATTTTAATTCACAAGACCTTTTCTAGTTATGCTGCTAAGTTTATTAAGCTCATTGTTCAAACTACAGACCTGCTCTTTTATCAAATTTCATTTTCAGCCATTGCCTATCTGTTTTCCTTTTTTTCCCTACCACACTAAAGAGACCTTTAATACCCCCTCATTTCGTCTTGGAAGGATAATTATATATTATATATATAATTATCACCATATCACTCCACAACTATCTAACATTAACTAGACAGCTACAGTTCTCTCTGTGGCAGTATTTTTTGTGCCTCTTTTCTGCATCTTCTGATGTTTTTTATGTATCTTTGAATTTAAGAACTATTTTGGGAGTGTTTTCCCCTTCTCCTTTTAGAGATTTCTAGCACAAAGCCTTTTTTTCCCTCTCTGACGAGAAAACAGAATCCTCTATTCCATATCCACTTTGCCTCTGAGTCTAAATATGGCGCAGCATATTTCAGAAGCATTTTTTGATCCACCAGGAATAACAAAGAATATGATTTATGCAAAAGTGCACATTCATACCTCTTATGCATTAAGCTTTTTCCAAAAATGTGACAGCCCCATAGGGAATAATGTTTTTCCATGTTCCTGTGAGAGCCATAATATTTCATTTTGCATTCAGTCTTATGAGATGTAAATTCCCTATAGATTCATTTTAGTTTGAAGCCACTGGTGAAAACCCTTAAATTTCTAATAGCTGAAGTCAGGCACTGAAATCTGCAACTCTGCACTTGAATAAATACTCAGGTCCTGAAAAAAAATAAAATAATGCTGATCCATAGATTATTTCTCCCATCACCGTGAGATTTGAGTTTTTTATTAACAATAACAATATATGCCAACTTGCTTGAATTTTTCAGCAAGAATAATACCCTCAAACCACTTAAGTGTTATGGAAGTTTTTCCTAAATGTTTCAGTTGTGCCAAAACCTTATTTTCCTAGAAGAGGTACTGAGCAAAATCTACTGCAAGCTCTATGACTGAGTACCAACAACTTCTGTTGTCTCCACTGAAAAACAATGAAGGCCATGCTCATATTGCTGTTCAACCTCCTATGAAAACCTGTATAAGCCCTTATTGGATAGCTATGCAGGCATATTGCTGGAAAAAAAAAATGGCAAAAATAGAGAATTCTCAAGTTCTATTATGCACAAATGATTTGTCAAGCTTCATTTACTTTATAGAATTAATGTAACTCACGACTAATAAAGTAATTGAATTCTCTAAAATAGATACACTATCGTACAAGCCCAATATGACAAAGGCAAACAGATTTTGTTGGCATAGCTCAGCTTGATAAGACTCTTCTTACCAACTAGTTCATTTTAAAACATACATTTATCTCTGAAAGAATCAGAATATATTACACCTTCAAGTTCACTTGAATGAGCAAAGATTAGAGCAAAATGAATGAGGAAATTTTAGATCATATAATCTCTCATACCTCTACAAAGAGTTTCACATTATGTTATAAACTAACTAGCTTCTTAAGACAAAAAAAAATCTGTTTAAAGCTTTTAAAGGTAACAAGAGAATAGTTTCTATTACCTTCACTCCCCAGGTGGTTAATAATATGTAGCTATTAAAATGTTTTTTTAAAACAGTACATTAAATTCATTGGCCTCATATCAGCAAGGAATTAAACCACATCTAACTTCATGCACACGAGTATTCCCACTGCACTTAATGAAACCATTTGCATGCTTATGACTACATACAGTCCAAAAATCCCTTGTTGAACCAAAATAACAAGAAAGATTTTTAACTCCTAAACATTCTTAACAATTAAAGCAATAGCATAAAAATTTCATTCTGGTGTGTTACATAATTCAATCTGCCTTTAAAAATGTATTGACACATTTTGGCTGTGGTGGACTATACCTCTGTGTTGCCAAACTTTCAATTTTTCTATGGTTTTGGTTAGCTTTGGTTTAATGAACAGACTTCTTATTTGAAAAACAGCAGATTTCTCTCTCTTCTGATTTCTACTTTCCCTGAAAATCCTTCTTTTACTTTCAGCTGACTTTCACTGACTCTTTCACTACTGCTACTATTATTTCTTGAACTGTACCATTCTTTTGTCTATCATGATAATATAAAATATGCAAAATTACTGCATGGGATAAGCATAATAAAAAATTTTCCTTATGTAAGTTATACTTGAGTAGAGTCAGGTAAAACTGAGTATATTTATACTGAGATCACTCTTCTATGCATGTCTGCATCTGATTTTTACTGAAGATTAGAATTACATGTTATATTTACTTGCTATATCTGAACTAATGCCAGCTTAACAATTTTAGAGGGAACAAGCAGAAAGGCCAGATGTGCCTTGGAAATCTTCCCTCTTTGGTGGGATACCCCTTCCCTGGAACTATGTTCTATGCCAGATGAACCGACAGTTGTTCCAAAGTCACTTTTTTTTTTGTTGCATTTCTCCTATGACAGACAAGAGAGATGATCACAACGTACTTTTCCCCTTTGTCTAAAAGAAGGAAAAATATCTTTACACTAAATTTAAGGCACTTTTTGGGGTGCATGGAATTCTTTTGACACAGTCAAATGAGTGCAGAAAGCAGCAGAAGAACCTCCTAGTGCAAGTAACTCAGAGCTGCTTTTTTGGGAGTACTGAGCTGTTGTCTCCACGTGCACTGTAGCTGAATTGAAAATACTTCTAGATAAGTCTATAACCTCTTCATACCTTGAAACAAGGTTAAAATGCAGTTATCAACGGAGATAATGTTCTACAAGATTTTAGTAATATTATACCAACTAAAATATACCCTAATGTAAGGTCAGTAAATAACTGAAATCTACAATAGACTGAGAACAGACTCTGATAAGCAAATTAATACTAAAAAGTCTAAGGCTAATTAGAACATATCTAATTATAATAGAATACTTGTAGTACTTAAAATTACTTTTTACAGTATAAAATAATGTAAATATAACACTATCAGAAAAATACTATGCTTGTTGTCTAAATTGTGTATTTTTTATTTAAAAATGCTTATTGTTTTTTACCCAAGGAATCTCCCCCCCTCTGAAAAGTTTCATTGACTCAAATTTTTCTGTAATCTCTAAGCTCTGTATTGAAAATAAGATAAATTTGTTTAAAAAATGATATTTCTACTTTCTGCTACTGCTTTTATTTCAAGATTTAGAAAAAATTTAGCTATTTTCTTCTTAGAAAATGCCATGCCTGTTTGTATTTACAGTGGAGTCTCGCAAACTGGTAAGAGGACTATCTAAAGAGAGTGCTCCCAGGGCTGATAACACACTGCTGGATTTCCAGGAGACTGTCTCCTTTAAAGAAAGAATGGCTATGTACAAGGCTGCTGTGTCCTTTGCCCATGTAAGATATCACTGGTTTCTTACCTTCCTACCTTTCCATTTGCTTTGCACAGTGACATATCCTGCCCTCTTTATTTATCCAAGCTGACTGACCGACCATTATGGGGATCAAAATTTGAAACCTAAATTAACAAACCTACTTTAAAAAGTTATTGATGCATCAGTCTCCATCTCTTCTGAGGGAGATTTTTCATGCTATAAAGCTCTGGTAATCTGGAAAATTCCCTTTAACTCATTAGAAGGACTGGGTTTTTCTTTCACTGCATTTATTAGGGCTATCAGCATGTGATAGCCAGCAGCTTCTGCATTACTAAAATTATTACTAAATAATAAAATCATATTCAAAAACACTTTAAGTTTAGACCTCTTGCTGTTCAAACTAAAGAATTTTAAATTGCTGCATTTTAAAATAGTAGCTCTATGAGACAAGGGGTATGAATAAGTATTGTTTTGTAATAAAATTATTTAAAATCAGCATTATATAAAAGAGTAGTTACGAAAAAAAATACTTATTAATTTTGTTTTACATCTTTCTCTAAATATCTATCAATATGATTAAGTATTTTTCTGCAAATTTTAAAATATTGATACCAAGTAGCATATAATGTATTTGGTTAACAGAATTTGTAAACTAGTAAAACAGACCTCCTCACTACACATTGATTTATCAGTCAGGAATATCTGAAAACTGTCTCTTCAGATCTCAGCCAGGAAAATCTTCCTCAGTTCTGCAGAAACATTAAGGGTTAAAAGTGGTTTTTTATCATATTTAAAATCCCAGCTAGAAGTTGCAGCTCAGATCCCTTGTATAAGGAAAGGAAGGCATTTTGAGGGCTTGCTCTAATGTGAGAATGACAAAGGTCTTTGTTTACACCAAACTTTCAGCACATTCAAAGAATACCTTCTTCTCACTGTAAACTAGACCAGAGTAATTTCTGTAAATCAGAGACCATATCTGGCAAAAGAAGGACTACAATTCAGCTCTCACCAGACATTATCTTCATCCATATGCAAGTACAGTTGTAGAGGATTCCCAGTCTTACCTGCACTTCAGTCTTGGGAAAAAGGGTTGGCATTACCTGAAGGGACCTTCTGGGTCCCTGGATAATCCAGAAACCACATAGTGAAAACAGCCATCAGAGTCCAAGTGTTTTCCAGCCATCAAACTCCTGCCTGATGACCCAACTGCTTGGTGTTTATTTGGAGCAGATTCCTGCATTTCATCTGTCTGAGAAGGTCCCAATTCCCTAGTCCAGCAATTAGAAACTTTGCTGAAGTTAGTACCCTCTGTCACAATGAAAAGAACTGCAAGAAGCCTGACCCAACCTAACTGTGTTGAGCACATAGGAACTATTTCATTTATACTCAGAAACCTCTTGCAATTTCTTGCTGAAATGGATGGTTGACTGAAAAAAGGAACTTTATATTTGGTTCCATTAAAGGGAATTAATACATTTCAATAGAGGACCCATAACTGCATTTACCTGTTCAAAATATCTCCAAATGGCTGTTAAGGTTGACCTGAAATGTTAATTATTAAAACAATTACTTTCCACATTCACATATTCATATACATATATAATCATGCAGCCTTCATCACAGGGAAAAAAACACCTGTTTTTATGATCTGCTTACTCACTCATATATATATATAAGTAGTAAATCTAACTTTACTTAGTAGCTTCATTACAAATGCATTGCTAATTTTTGGGTGGGCTTTTTTCTATATAGCAATTAATACATTAAAATCCTGAAAGCCTCATCCAATGCCATCTAAAAAGTATGACAAAAGGGACAGAACTAGAACAGGAAGCCCGAGGCTAAGTGCCCCCTTGTGACTTTCATTGCGGTTGTTGGGAAGACAGGTCATCCCACAAAGCATGAAGCATTCTGCATGTTTTCCAACAATTCCTGTTCAAAACACAGAGAGGGCCAGGTGGAAACTCTGAATGCCATGGAATTCTGAAGAGACAAGTAGAAGAGGGAACAGCAGAAAGGTTATTCTGGAAAGTGGTTGTTACTGCCAATCAAGCATATGGGACTTATTTTGGTGCTCAAGATTCAGTCTAAGCTTACCTTTAAGCTGTCTAAATCATCAAATACGTCTCTTGTGCAGCAGCCTATGAATTTGCCAAAACCAGTGTTTATGATTCTCTCAGTCACTCCTGAATACTGCTGTTAACTAGTTAAAAATAAAGAAAACTACGTCATAGAAGTGTGCTTTAGGTGCAAATAGATAACAATTGATCTTATTTTATCACTCTAGAGTTCACAGAAGACCAAGTTCTGTACTGTGCCTGGTGGCCTGGCAGCAGTGAGGAAACAATTTGAGAAAGTACAAAGGATGTCTCCAAAAAAGACCTTTGTTCAGTACCAGCACCAGCATAGATCTCTACAGGTAACAGCATTTTAATTCTAACAAATTAGGTCTGCCCTGCTAGATAACTGAGGGGAAAAAAAAAAGATTGCTTGCTTTACTGACGAGTTTTCATTATGAGTAAGGCAATATTTTTCTAATGCTCATAGTCATAGAATTTTATATTTGTAATGCACCACAGGATTCATATATTTTTTATGCAGATGAACACTCACTATATTTTAGACTCAACTAGACTCAGATTGAGTAAAGCAAATGATTACTATAGCAGTATTTTATACCGAAACCTGTCTATAAGATTTTTTATTTATACATTATCATTTGTCATGGTGATATTTTGTATTTATTGCACTTGTTAAGTTGTTCTCTTTCAATAGGAGTTTTCTGCTTCCATTGAATTAAATTAATAAATTTCCCTAAGCAGATCAAAAACTGCACAGAAGAACCCAGACATTACATGAGAGTAGAGCAAAGCAGTAGCTAAGTGTTGCTTCAGATGAAAGACCTTTACATTTCATTGCTTCATTAGGCTATACCATGCAAAATTGTTGTAGGAGATAACGATTTTGGACTATGTGAAATCCCCTGCAATAAAGCGCTGTACAATCTGTCCTGTGCACTCTGAAAAACAGTAAATTTCTTTACCATCCTGCACTTCTTGGAGAGATTTTTTAAGCAATATTGTTCTCCCAGCTTTTTAGAAAAAAACACATTAACATTTTTCCATAGGTTTATTTTCATGTTAAATAACTATCATTGTATCTACCACTCATCTCTCATTTCTTACACATTAATACCTATATCAACAATTTTCACAGACAACAAGCAAAACTCCAGTTTGTAAGGAAGAAGACAGAGTTTGCTGCAGAGGTATTAATCCATCTTTAACTAAGCAGAAAAATGCCATAGTGGGTCATACTCACAATGGTGCATAATCTACAGTAATGGAAGTGTTTTATGAACCTACTTTTCTGATGACATGGCCCACTCTACGTGCCAGTTTTCTGGGTGAATGAATACAGAACCCTGTAGAGAAATTATGTGACTTTTCTCTTACGCAGAACCCAATAATTTCATTTCTGTGATGTGTAGATGCATTTTCCAGGACATCCATCTCTCCACAAAGCCACTAGAATGGTTCCATTTCTCCAGTCATGATGTGACCTCAAAGCATACTTATCCATGAATTTTTCCTCTGTGGCTAGTTGAGGAGGCTCTCTCAAACCACCAGGAGAAATAGCCACATACACTGGAAAATGAAATCTCTCAGACCATACAGAACCATCTTTAAATTTACATTAAATAACTTATTGCAAGACCATAAAATCCCATTTCTATGTAACATAACTGCACTTTCATGGAAAATGGGATTATACACTTAAGTAGTTGAAAGATTATTCAAGGTCACTGAATCTATCCTGGGGCAAAACAGAGAAAACACATAGTTTGAAGACAGATCTCCAGATCTGGATAAATTCAAATTATTAATCCAAGATAAAATAAGAACACAAATTTTTAAACAGTAATCTAAATACTTAATATTCTACTACATAGTAAATTATTGTTTAAGGTGTTCATGACTTTTCATTCAAAATATTGTCATAAAATATGCAAACAATAACTATTAATCTCCCTGTTTTTCTCAGGCAGCAGCTATCACTCTTGGCTCTCTACATTGTACTGGAAATTGGTTCTTTGTAATAGTTGCCATAATACCAGTAGAGCTCAATAAACTTGTGTCCAAAATGGTGAGCAGCAATGAAAACTGACCAGAGACTTGCCCTGTGCTCATGAATTCAACCAAAGTCTGAGTAGACACCTGGTCTGTGTTCTGACCACTGACATCATGAGCACCTTCTAGCTCAGCCACCACGATGAGAAGAGGCCATGAGCTTTGGTGTCACACCTGTGCAGGTGCCAGCCTGGAGTGCTTTGCTACCCCAGCTCAGCCACCTGACAGCTCAGGCACAGCCCCAGTGCCTGGTGTCAGAAATGAGCCTTAGCTGGCAAGTAAACTGAACCCCCAACACAGCAAAGGAGTGGAACACAGAGAAATCATCTGATATTCACTCACCCATACAGTACAGAACGTCAGAACTCACACGGGCATAGACACCCCTCTTAACTCAGGGTCATTCCAGAGCAATTTTCTAAGATGGCTACTGTTGCAATTGCCAATTTTCTAGCAATTGCAGAGAATAAAATTGAATAACAGGACAATGTCAGCGAATGGTGAAAACCTCACATTTTAATAAAAATCTTTCATACAGTGCCCAAGACACCCTAAGTATATACATACAAATAAGCAAGGCTGACAAATCATAGGGATGAAGTGCAGATAAGTGAAATTCTTATACGAAATTTCTGCAAGACTCTTACTGAGCTTATGTGCAATGAGACCGTGCTAAAGAACATACATAGGTAAAAAAACATTGCTTTGAGGAAGAAATGAAGATCCATGCCAAATAGCCATTCCATTGTCACTAACTTTGTACGTGAAGTTTCAGGCTCACAATTTACTTCCATTGCTGCTTACAAGTTTGTACATACTGTTCATTTAGAACAGAAAGTTCTCAATTTGTCAATACATAAGCCAACTTCTGAGAAATTATATGTTGATATAATGTCATGTTTATATAATCATATGTTGTACCATTATGTGCAGTTCAACATTATACATCGGTTGTGAGATAGTAAAAGACTTGTGCTTGGATGAACCTCTGAGCCATTTGATCCCCTTGAAATACATACTTACATAGATAGAGAACTGTATACATGTCTTATGTATATATACATATAATGTACTGTACATATTATGAGCTGAAAAGAATTCTATTTTTGAAAGTTAAAGTGTGTTTTAATTGTTATTTGAACAGAAGGAAACTAAAAATATCAACACAAAAAAGCAAACCTTGGTCTAAATTACACAGAACAATTACTGATAATTCAAATCTTGGCACATTTTTCAATAAGAATTCTATCTAAATTATTGCAGTACAGAAGTACTAAAATTGTTGTATAACCCACTACCATAAAATGTGTGTAGCAATTACAGCTCTCTTCAGTAACAAAATGTGAATGCCGACATAAAAAAACACTCCTCTAACAACATTTATACAGACTTGTTCTCGGACTTACATGTTTATTTTTAAATAGTATTTTTAGGTTAGAATGACTTATTACCCAGAGACACAACAGTACACAGTAGGGCTCTGTGTTAAGCACCATACAGATTTGCAAGGGAAGGCCAGCAGCCCACACAAAGGGTGACAGGAAACAAATGTAAGAGACTGGAGGATAAAGAATTCTGAAAGAAAATTTAAAAATTGTAAGAAACTATTCATGAGCAAGCAGCATGCCAACAATCATCCAGCTGACAGGGTTTTCTGAAGCTTACTCATGATATGCCATAAACAAAATGTAATTGACCAATTTTACAGAATATACTACAAAGTCCATGGGATCTACAAAACATGCCACAAAGCATAATGGGGTAGACTAAATTAATCATACCTACACAAATGCTATATCCAACAGTTGGCAGTTCTAGAGGAGGGATGAAACCACAGATCTTCTAACTCTCCACTTGTTCAGAGTAATAAACCAGCAGCATTTAACACCCTGGAATTTCAATTAGCCATTTTGTCTGACACACAAAATAAGAAATCCTCCATGTCCCTCTACCTCCCAGCATGCCCAGAGCAAGGCTGTGTAATTATATCATCAAAATCTGGCTCATAATGTTTGGGCTGTATTTTCGACGGCCATTGCTATAGCATTAAATTATTATGGTCTTTTGCAATATGGCAACTACTTCATAAGCAGTACCAAAGTTACAGCAATAAAGCACTAGTGACATTCAGATTAGATATGCTTCCTGACTACATTAAGTCTAATTATATTTCTTTTTTATGCCCCACACCATTCCAAGGACACATAATGACTACTCTGAACATATTTCATGTCTCATGAATGAGCTTTTCCAGTAATGAGAGCTTGAATTACATATCTAAAACATGCACATTAGAACAGAAAGGCATATCTTAAATGAAAAAAGCATATATATGCATAAATATATTAAAAAGCATGTCCATATAGAGTGAAAAGGCATATTAGACATACACCTACACAGTCATTAAACAGAGAATAGATGGAAAAATTTTCATTTCATTCTTTTTGAACTGCCTCTTTTCAACCTGGTATGTGGTTAGCTCTACATCTCCTCACATGCAGTGCAGCTCCCCCACAGCTGTTATGTACACAGGACCTGCAAGTGTACAACAGGACATCCTGTAAAAGCAGGACATGCTGTGACCTGCTCTCCTCAAGCCTCAATGCACTCCGACAGTTCAGACAGGATTGCTTTTGATACTGGTAATACACTAAATCATTTACTGGGCCAGCAATAAGAAAATTTATTCTACCCTTTGTTCGTACAATTTTAATTCATCTTATAGCTGAAACAGGATTTGGCAGCACAGAAGTGGAAAAGAATTCCTAAAGCCCATGGTGGGAATGCTCATTGTTTCTCTGCCATAAATCTAAGAACCCTTGCTGCCTACTGCATGGCAGAAATTACAGGCCAGGCAGTAGATGACCCCTTATTGATTCAGCAGTATTAATGGAGATGCAAGCTGTGTAAGCATTCCTTAGTTTGAAGGTGGAATAAATCCATAAATATATGCTTTCTCATGGCATGACTAAGAGAAAGAAGTAATTTCTTGCCCCACAATTAACTGTATTTCAAGTAGTAATCAGGACTTGAGATGCAGGAAGTTTACAGCTCTATGTTGCACTAGATGTGCACCAGCAATCTCAGAAACACAGTACTGCCACCATTGATGCTCAAGTTACATTGAACACTTGGGAAACTCTTGCTGGAGGGACCAGAAGCTCATTTCATTTGAAAGCTTATTATCAGTAGAAAACAAGCTTCCTTCTAACAAATGAAGAAGAAAATATAATTTGACATGAGTGAAATTATTTGTTAGATGGCTCTGTGTGTATGGGTGAAGCCCAGGACTGCTTAATAATATCAATCTTTCAGATTTATTTCTTCTAATCACTAAGCCTCAAAGTACCCCATGGACGCTGGTAATGATGTAACACAGGTTTGGTGGCAGTCTTCAAATAAGAAAACAAATCACTGTCAGAATCTGAAGCCTAACCAAACACAGATTCAGAAATCAGTTTATACAGACATCTTGGACAGTGCTTTAAACTCCTGAAGATACACTCTGTTTATTACACTGCAGTTGTCAGGCTTGTAGTTGCAGTGCTACCCTCTATATTTTACAGAATCTCTGGTTACTCTATGGGTCATATTTTTCACAATTGTAATTCAGCATGATTTTTGCATTGAAAGAAGTTTATAAAGCACATGCAGGGAGTCATCACCTCATACAGACATATCACACTTCCTTTTATAAAGTTGCATTAGCATTATGTCCCCTGCAAGGCAACAAGTTGGAGGCACAGCATATAAAGCCAGAACAAGTCCTCCTTGTCACCTCTACCCCCTCCCAGTCCAATTATGCATTTTATCTATTCATGAACCTTGCCATATCTGCTGGCCAGCATCTTGCTGCAGTAACAAAGACTTGACATCTTCTGTGTTACAAAAAAGCCAGTTCCAATGTTGATAGCAAAAAATATCAAAGATAATAACAATGGCATTCTGCTGTAAAATGGCTGCTCTAGTTATACCATTTCCATTAGAATTAATTTCTGACAGCCCTTCAGGCAAAAAAAAAAAAAAAAAAAGAAAAAAAATCTGATTTACTATTACCTGTTAATGTGATTTTTTTTTTATTTGTCTTGAGGAAACATCAAGCAGCAGGCACCACACAGTATCAAATAGCACCAGGGAAGCTGAGTGCAATGAAATGACCTCCAAAGAAAGTCAAAAAGAAGCTTCTCAAACACAAGAGGTAACTATATCATTTAATAATCATCTTATTGGACAATTACACTGATACTGATACATACCTACTTTGCTTCTTCTCCTTTACCTCTTGGTACAGCAAGATCTGGATTTTCTGCTGAGAGCTTATCTCATTACTCAGGGCATAATAACTTTTAAAGATGTTTTACTACATGAAGGTATTATTTAATGCAGTTAAATGTATTAATTTTTAATGTATTATTGTTCTATCATGATAATTTTTGTATTTACATTCATATTTTTCATTGATGCAATATTTTAAATATGGCTTCAGAAGTATGTAAAATTCTTATGCATTGCACTAAATCATGAGTAAAGTGAAGGTTTTGTGCACAGGTTTCTCCTCATGAGCAAGTTATTCATGAAATGAAAATGGCTCCTACATTCACTCAGCACGACACAGGTAAGAAGTGGCATGAGAATAAACGCTCACAAATGAGCAATGGCAAATGTCTTTACTCACACAAGTGTACTGTTCTTAGCATATAAGCATGAAAACACACACTGCTCTGAATTCTCAGCAAAGCTCATTCCTTAACTTCAGTGGGACTGAAGAAATGAGTTTAGAATTCAGTATGAAGAGATTATGTTTGCATAAGGATGTGGTTTTAAGTATAGTCTGAGTTGCTTCAAAGAATGGGGGACTTGACAGCTTGTCTGAAAATATAAGCAAACACCAGTCCATGTACATACAAAGCTGTGGATGGGTAAGGTTCAGTTTGCAACTGACCTGAATAACCCTGCAGAATATCACAGTGAAGAAGATCACAGTGTTAAGACACTGCTGCTGCAGCAGTTTAGCCCTTGAATGAGAATTCATGCCTTTCACTCGCCCACACACCTCAGTCACCCTTGGCCCTGCCATACCATGCAGGTATGGCAAAGCAGTAGTTTATATCATGTCCCTTAACAATTATTCTAACATTTTCTCTATGGATTTCTGTACTGATCAAGTGACCCTCTAAACTTCTACAAGGCCAAACAATTTTTCCAAGATAATGATGTTTTATAATTCACTCATAAAGTCAATTTCATAAAATGCAGGTTGGAGGAAAACCAATCTTTTTTATTCTTCTTCCCATTGCAGTAATCAATTCAGCTCAGAATGAAGAGCTCCCAAAGACTGTAACAGAGATTTTAAAACAGCAGATTGAGAAGGCAGCTCAGGAAAAGGCTGTTCACTCTGTCAGAGAGATCACAACTTCTGCTAAAGAAGTAAAGGTCTGTATTTTTAATAAGAGCAATCTTTCCTAATGCAAATGAGCAGTTAAGATACTGGTCTGTCATGCTGTCTGATTTTCTACTTTGAATAATTATGATTAAAAATGTACCTTATGGAAGTGGTGGGAATATACAGACTTCAGGAATTAAGTGCACATAATGTAATATGTAATACATTAGAAGGCTCCATAAGTATTTCAAGTATGTGACAAAACCAAGTCAAGGTAAAAACTTCTGCATTTTCTCCTCCTCTGATGAATAGTCTCCTCTTCCCTTGTTTTGAATCTCTAAGTATGTGTAATTTGTCACCGCAGACCCTCAAAAAATACCACTTTCAAAAGAAATTAAAATGACCATAAGCGACAGCTAAAGTTTGTTATGCTTATAATGCAAAGTCTGCATTTGTTGCATCAAAATCTCTAAGACTGCTCAATCATCATTTTGCATGAATTCCACATTTCTTTTCACATATATCCTATGATGCAAATATCACAGCTCTTAGCTCAAAAGATTGGTTTTATGCATTCTGAGCAATAGCTGATAGATTGTGTCTTTCCAGATCCTATTATAATCCTATTGCTTGGATCTTGCAGAACTTGCTTTTGTGCAGAAGAGAAAAATTGTTTTCTATATTACTGTGCTTAAAAAAAAAGAGGAAAAGAAAAAAAAATAAAAAAGAGGGAAAAAACCACAACCATAAACCACAGAAAACCCAACATATTTGCCCCTAAAGATGGAAAATACATACCAGGAAATCACATTAACTTCAACAGTTCATCTGCTACTGCTACAACTTCAGGAAATTCAGACTACAGGAAATTTCTACACCATGGAAAAAACAGGATGGAACTTCTACCTCTGCTATTATTTGCTCCTGGTACATGGAAGCACAGGAAAACTTCCCAATACTTATGCAAAAGCTCCAATGGAACTGTCAATGTATTCTGAGTCTATTAGACCAGCCAGCTCTCCAACAAAGTCCATTGTGTCCATGGATCTGTACCCAAAGCAATTTATGTGAATTAAGACATTTATATAATTTTTTACACCCAATATTAAGAAAACACTTAGAAAAACATTTTCTAATATTTTATGTCATGGATCTGAAACACAGAATATGACTTTAGATGTGCAGCAGGTAGATCTAAATGGCTTTGCCTTCATCATTCAGATGTTCACAAGGCCAGAAAAATGATGCTTAGTGGCATAAAATCCAGAGAGGAGAGGTCCTCTCTCTAAGGTGAGAGAATCAGCCTTTCATTCCATTTAAGATGATCCTCCAGACCCAGCTGAAGCTAGAAGTACTGCACAGAAGGAACCATTGCAGGAAGAAATGTTAAAATATTCAGCCTGAATGTTTCAGATGCAGCCTCTTGCCGTGCTGCATGCACATGCCCCAGGCTCTGCAGGAACTATGGACAATATCCATGCATTAGGTAGAGGAGGTGTTGGTGCAGGCAGGTGGGTGTTTGAAATGCAGCCACTGAATTATATGAATAAAAATCCCGAGAGAGGAACAAGTATCAGCTGAAACACGCATCTAAGAAGTTTCTAATGGTGCTGTGAAGATTCAGAGGTACATGCTGGAAACACAGAATCCGGATAAACTTCAGCAGCTCAATCCAGTTATTTCCCTTAACTGCTTGCAGACAAAGCCTGAGCTGAAAGGGAAGCTGAGCTCTTCACAGAAGGGTAAAGAGAAGTATAATATGTTTTATACAGCCATTGTGTGTTACCAGAGAGAGCTTCAAAGATGGGAGAATGAAGCTGTCCATGGATAAGACACTGAAAAGAGGCATCACACAATAACACACCAGATGAATGCAGCTTTTACCTGTGAAAATAAAACTCCTATGTGTAATCTTAGTGGAGGAAAACATACAGTGCTACACACATGGCAAAAAAGCTGAAATAAAGCCTTGACACACATAGGATCCAAAGGAATTAAGTCCAGCTGAAACATCCACTACAAAAATCAGACAAGCAAGATCAAGATCCCATAAGAGATGCAACAGCTCCTGTAACACTAGAGCAAACCACAGATTCTGACTCTGACTTGGATGGCAACAATACCCAAGTATACAAGAATAAGACATAGGAATTCAAATAGATAGATTTCCATGAAGTCCAGAAGACTGAGAAGCTGAAGATGCAGGAATTTAGGATTAACACTAAGAGATCTATCCTGAAGAATTACATGCAGCAAAACAAAAATATACTAAAAATAAATATTACAATTATAATTGCATTACTGTTCTATTTGAAATACATTAACATGCTAGAAAATGTGCACAGAATGCACCTCACTTTTCTTGTTTAAAATTAATACATCCTCTAACCGGAAGTAAAATGTCCGTATAAAACAGCTGTGGAGACAAAATAATGCTCATATTTTGTGCACATCCATTTTTAGTGTAGTAAAATACAAGATATTACTTTAGACAAAGTGAACTATGTTTCAGTGGATTTTCTGTTCGAGTAAAATTACTGAAATGGTTTAAAAATTACTATGCAATTAAAAAAAAACCCCAAACTGCTACTTCCTGATATGTGATTTAACCAGTTCATAAAGCTCTAGTCTGAATTTAGGCAATGAAACGAGATGTAAGGGTCCTGGTTTCACAATACTAAGGAGTGAAGCTGCTCAGTGTGTCTGTCAAAGAACTGAAGCCCATTATTTGTTTCATATTGAACAAAATTTTAAACTATATGATGTGAATACATATATATTTCTAACTGAGTATGAAGCAAACATGGAAAATTAAGCATGACTTCTTTCTTATGGTGCATGTTTTACTTAAAAATTATATTAAAATAGCATTTAGATTGCAAAGTTATGGATTTAAAACATAGAATATGTTACATATGCTACTGAAAGATGAACATCAGTGTCCTCCTTTTTTTGCATCTATTTTGGGCACTGAGTACGGATGGGATCCTGCAGGAAGACCAGATGTTGCTTTAGCCATTTGATAGATGAAGCAGGTGCTTACGTTTGAACAGCAGAGCAAACGTCAGAACAAAGCTAAACACTCCTGCAGCAGCAAAAGTGCAGAGTTCACTATTCCTGAACAGAGAGCTTTGCTTTGGGATCCCAGCACTGTGCACCATGAGAGGGGTGCTACCTCTGATCACACTAGGAGCAGAATTGGACATGAGTGGGTTGTGAGCCTGTAAGAAGAGGCACGGCCTAGCAGCGATCCAACAAAATACTTCATGTGGTGGGCTGGCTCTTGGTGACAGCTAAATCCACACCCACTTACCCACACCCCACGGGGGACTGGGAGAAAGAATCAGAAAAGCAAGAGAGCTTGTTGGCAGAGGAAGAGAGGTTAATAGGGAAAGCAAAGCTGGGACATGAGCAAAGCAAAAGAAGTAACTGATGTCTTGTCACTTCGGCCTCAAAATGCACAACTTTTACTTGAAGGACAAACACTCTGAATGTCCCTTTTCCTTCTTTCCCTCCAAAGTTTCTATTGCTAAGCGTGATGTCACATGCTGTGGAATATCCCTCCAGACAGCTGGGGTCGGCTCTCTTGTTTGTGTGCTCTCTCAAGTATCTTGCAAATCCCCAGTCTACCTGCTTGGGACTGGGCAGGAGGGCACAGTGGGAGGAAGAAGGGACTGTGACACTGGGCAAGTACTGTTCAGCAACAGCTAAAACATTGTGTGTTATCAGCACTCGAGCCCAAATTCAAAACAGCACTGAATGGGCTGCTATGAAGAAAACAACTGCATCCCAGATAGTCTCAATAAAAGCACCTATGTTAAAAGTGAGTAGAAATACCCAGTTCCAGTAAAAAAAGGGAGTTTTCTAAAAATCAACCCTCTGGATTTTGTTTTTAATCTCTTTCTATATTGATGACCTCAAATAGCAGACCAGCCTTTTCCTCACTGATTTTGCAGGACCATTCACATGTGGTAGGTTGACTTCTAGCCACTGTTCCATTCCGTCTCCTCCACAAGATATGAAATGAAAATAGGATGAAGAAGCTCATGGGGCAATTTAAAGACAGGGAACAACACAAGGACACTTACCAATTACTTTTATAGCCATGGGAAAAAAATATTTGCCAATTAAGATAGATTCAGATTGTGAGAAAAAAAAAAAAACACTGCAACACCTCCCCTTCTGCCATCTTTTTTATAGTCTCAGCTTTACTCCTGCCTCTTCCTCATCCCTCTCCCACCCCCAGTAGCATCCCCAGTAGAGGGGAAGGGGAATGGGGGGCTGGGGTTAGTCCATACCAGTTCCTCTCTGCTGCTCCTTCCTTCACACACCTGTCCCTTGCTTCAGCCTGGGCTCTCCATATGCCACAGGTCCTTCTGGGAATACCCACCGTGGCGTTCCCCAGAGGCTGTAGGATCACTGCTCCTGCGTGGTCCTCTCCCAGGCTGCAGGGAAGTACCTGCTCAATACCTGCTTCCCTGGTTGCCTCCACAGGCTGCAGGGGAATCTCTGTTGCAGCCTCTCCTCCCCTTGTTCTTCTCTGACCTTGAAGTTTACAGGGCTGGTTCTGACACTTTTGCCCCCCAGTCCTGGCTGCATGTGCAGCTTTTTGCCCTTTTGGAACACGTTTTCCCAGAGACAGGAGGAGCGTGGCTGAGCGGCCCCGCCGTGCATCCAGAGCTGGTTGTGCCCAGCACGGGCAGGCCCTGCTGCTCCTCACAGAGGCTGCCCCCAGCCACGAAACTGTGCCACTAACACACAATATGCGATTCAATTTCAAAGGGATGCATGTTGCCTCACCATTCAGTCCTGGAAGTTGTTTTGGGATAAATTTCCCTTCAATTCCCTCTGCTTTCCTCTTCTCTTGATTTGCCTTCTGAGGCACAACACTCACTATCAATTTTCCAACTAAGCAAAGTAACCATTCAATGAGACCGTTCTCCTGGATAGATGTCACCATTCTTCCCCTCCTAATTACCTTATCTCCTTCCTCTCCCCCCTCTACATTCAGAACACTTGAGTACCTAAGAATATTCAGCTGAGTCCTGGTGCTTGGCTCACAAATGGTCCGTGCAAACAGGCTGCCCTTACTGGTATGTGAGCCCCTTGCTGGTATGAAACTTTCTAGTCATGTTTTGTACTTTATAGAGAAATAGCTTTCTTTATAATTAAATATGCTTCACATAAGAATTTATAAAGCTATTAATATAAATGTAGCTACCTTAGTATTAAAAGTCAACTGAAAAAAGTATCAGGCCTGACAACTAAAATTGTAAAAATCACAAATAATTATGTCCAGTGCACAGTTTGGAGGTTACCACAAAAGGGGTAACCCCTATTGTGCATTTGGCATGGCTAAGCAAAAATTCTGCATCGGAATTTCAAACATCCATCCCTACTTACTGATCTTTAAATCACGTGGTACATTCAAAGATTACACATACAGTATACTCAATTCCACTTATTGGAAAACCCTCTATTATTCTACCACATTTCACACAATAGTTAGTTATTACAAATAAATGGAAGATATTGTACCTGGTAAAGTTCTTTCAAATGCATGGATTCCTGCAAAGGGAAAGGTAAGTAGTTTTTAAATTTCCAAGTATTACTGTTAGTTGAAAAAAAATAGAAGCCCTACAAAAAACAACTGAGATACCAGTTGGCAGAAAATGGAAAATGTTCTAACAAAATATATGGACTGATACTGCTCAAATTAAATCATAACATGTGGCTTATACTAATTTGTAACCTTTTATTATGTGGTTGTAGAAACTGCAGATTCAGGAAAATGAAACGTGCAAACTCTGTCAACAGAGAGTGTACCCCATGGAATGTCTAGTTGCCGATAAGCAGAATTTTCATAAATCGTGTTTCCGGTGTCACCACTGTGGCAGTCAATTAAGGTAAGAATTAACTGCCTGTTCACTCACACAATCCTGGTTTTGAATATACATACCTATGATGAATTTTTTTTCAACTGTAGGATGCTGGGTTGATAGGGTGGTATCCTGAGTTCTCCTTTTCTTCTCTGCTCCTAATATCTGCACTGTGACATGGAATGAGTCCTTTGAATTCCTTATAGAACTGTTACATCCCAGTACCTTCCAAATTCTTTCCCATATTACATCCTACTGACTGTTGAAGACTTTCAGGACAGCATGAAGCAGAGGCAGTAGACATGGGAATTCAGGTGGAATTCAAGATATCCACAAAACACCAACTTTTCTCTTAATTTTCCTCACTCAAAAAATTAATTATGATGGTTCTCTGTATTACCAAATCACTCTAATCACTCTGTAACCTTATTATAAAATGTGGGATTTATTGCCCTATCTGCAAAAACCAACAACTTTGATTTTAACACACTCTGGGTTAGTTATACACACTTCCTTTACTTCATTTGGGAGGGAAGTCCAAATATAAATCTAACACAAATTTCTGTAATTTGCACAAAGACTAAATTCTGCTGCTACTTTGTAGAAAAACTGAAGATTTGGACTTAATAAGATGAAGAAAAATAGTCCAAAAAGCCTGGAAATGCTGTGGAACATTTCTATTTGAAACTTATTCTGTGCAACAACTGAATGAGTTTATGTTCTTTCTTAAATCACCAAGCATGACTCTTCTCCTTCATTTTGACTTTGAAATTGTATGGGTATTTGCAAGTAAAGGTTTTAGATACTTTTTTTTGGTGGGAGGGGAGGGAGAAAGGGGGAGGTGTATGGTAATACATGATATGTAAAAGCATAAAACAAATTTTCTTCCAATTGGCAGCTTGGGAAATTATGCATCTCTCCATGGAAAAATATATTGTAAACCCCATTTTAAGCAACTTTTCAAATCAAAAGGAAATTATGATGAAGGTTTTGGACACAAGCAGCATAAGGAATTATGGAATTCTAAAGATCAACTTAGTTCAATTAACAAAACTCAGGCTGAAGAAACAAATCCCATTAATAGCATACCTGTTGATCCTAAACCAATTACAGAAGTTGATAAAGGCTTGTACTCAGGTACCGAAGACGCTCGTCCTGATATTTTGGATAATAATTTGAAAACCACAGAAAGAGGTAAATTAAAAATGACATGGCCTCCTTCAACAGATGATGCAACATCTAAGAAAACATTCTCTATTGAAGAATCAGCTAAAGTAAATAAGACAAAGTGGCCCCCAGAAGGTTTTGCTCAAGAAGATTCTAGTATTTATACAAATAAACCTCAGGGCAACAAAAAGGAATCTCAGAAAAATCCCACTGTGATGGAGCAAAATAAAAAAACCACCACAAATTCACAACAAAATCAATACTCATCCACTCTGTCTGAAAAAGAATGTACAAATACCTGTAAAGCAAAGAAAAATGAAGCAGGCAATAAGGGAAAGGATGGGGAAGCTGGAAACGTGCAAGATAAGGTTAATAAACTAGAAGCACCAGAGAATAGAGAGCAAAGTGGAAGGGATATTAATGAGGGTGATAATGTAATTATGGATAGTACTGGGAAGAAGCAAGAGAAACAAATTAATGGAACTGATAATTCAGAAGTTGTACAGGTTACTAATATTGATGATGTAACAGTACAAAAGAATCACAAAGAATGCAGCTTGAATAACAACAACAATAATAATTATGCCACTTTTTCACATCAAAATATTTGTACACAGAAAACAACGCTCTCAGTTGTGTCTACCCCAAAGACAGCATTAAGCCATGCTATTAGCACTGAATCACAGCATGCCTTTGCAAAGATGGACACTCAGTCTGGAAATGAAGAAATGTATCAGATGTACAAACCTCATGAGAGCAGTTCTAGTGATACTGTACTTGCACAGGATGAACAGAATCCAAAAGATGAAGACTCTCTTACTTCTAAGAGTCTTGCTCAATTTAATAATGATGCCACTTGTCAGAAGTCTCTTACTAGCAGCACATTTGTTTTGAAGAAGGCAACTAACACAACATTGTCTGTTGATACTGAGTTGTTATGCACTGGAGAAAAATCAGAATATGACAAAAAAGACAAAAAGCTAAATACTATTTTATCTGACACTCTGAAGACATCTTTTATTAAAAAAACCCTGTTTCTAAACTGTGGTCTAACAGACTTTGCAGCTGTAAATAAAAAATCCTACAGTCCATATTCAAAAGAACATGGAAAGTATGATACAGAACTGAATTATATTAACGCTTGTCAAGAAAGTGAAATAATCCAATTGGCAAAGCCTGACATAAATACAAGCTTAGATTTCCTGAGCTCAAGACATACAACTGTTTCATCATTCCAAGGCAAGAAAGTCAAGTTCAAATGGCTCACTGCAGATGAACAAAAAAAAAAACAAAACATAGATTTTATGATGAAAATTAATAAAACATCCAAGTGGTCAGCTATGTCTGTCACTCATTACAAAGTATGTAATAAATAGGTATTTCTTCAGCCTATTTATTTTAGTCTTTCATGGAGAATTTAATATCCAGATATTACACAAAAAATACAATTATATTGTCAATTACCCAGACTTTATTCAGTTAGTTTATATTTAAGACAATAAAGATGTAGATTTTTTCCATCTGTAATTATAAAATAATTCTTGTTTTTCTATGTTCCTGAGCATTGCAAGGAATATTTTACTACACTGTCCTGGAGAAACACAATCCATTTCAATATTTATTATTTGTAACAATTTCAGATGTGAAGCACCTGGTGTGCACAAAGGAAGAAAAAATACTTTTATTGTTTTTTCTAATGTATTATTATTCTAACTGAGCTGTTGCTCCATGACATATTATGTACACTGGTTGTGTTAGCTCATGCTAGAAAACCTGGGGTTTGGTTGAGATTTTTGGGGGTTAATCTTTTTTGTTTTTGTAGTATCATGTAATACTTAGTTTGAACTGGATAATTATTGAATAGTAACCACAGCAGGCTGGTGAAGAACACTGTTTTGCTATATTGCTACAGCTGCTACTAAGTTATACTGAGTAACAGGGGAGAAAAAAGTGTGTAAATTTTAACATTGGATAAAACCAAACATCCTAAATAGAACTGAAACAAGGTTTGGGGGCACTGGGCAATGAAGACTAGTGGTTGTTTCAGTAATTCATTCAAAGTCACTTTAGCTGAAGCAGCTCTCCAGTGTCATACTTAAACCTGTACAAACTTTTGCAGATCTTGCACTTTTTTCCTTAAAACCTATACTTATGGATTAACATTTGCTCACTTAACACTACTCCATCTTGTATGAAACAGCAATATATCATTTAACTGTTGATAATGCATAATAAAAAAAGCACTTTACAAAAAATATTTTGTGAATTTTTTGTTGAATTTATACATACTATTTTCCTTAGAGTTTGTGAAATTCTTCATGCAATGCCTAGTTTAAGCCAAAGTATCAGAGAGAAAGGGAATCATAATCAAAATACATTTTTCAAAATAATTCCTGAAGGACCCAACAAAGACATGCATTTGAAATAATTTACAGGAAAGACAAGCTGATGTTAAAACATTTAAGAAAGTGTGCCTCAGACTTCTAGAACAAAACATTATCTGCACTACCACTCATTGCCCAAAGCAACAGGGTTGTGGGTAAGTGGGGAATCCACATGTGACTCCTCTATACCCACACACAAACAACCATAAACTATACACACACATCAGAGAACTATGAATAACATTTTTTCCACAAGTATGCGTCAAGAATATATTGCTCCAAAGTATTCTCGGTAAAAGCAGAAATATAAGATCTCTTTAAATTAATGTTACCAGAACAGCCTTTTGCACAAGACACAGCAATATCACTGTATTTGAGAACTTTATTAAAAAGCATTAGCCTACAGCTGCTTTTGAACATCTTAGAATCATTTCAGCAAGATTTCTCCCTTTCTGTTATTGCTTCCCCCATTTGGGTGTAACCATCATAATTTGTTTTTAAAAAGCCAAGAGATTACTACATAACACTAAATTACTCTGCTCTCTTTTTTGAGTAGATAACACAAGTAAAAATAACATCAACAAAATTCCTGCTAAGACAACAAAAAAAACCCAGAAAATGCATGCCTGAAGAAAATAAAGGGAATTTGACTGGCATATTTAGACTTCTACATGAATTAAAATTTTAAGTCTCCCCCATTTCTCAAAATCTCTTATTAGATAGAAGATTGGTATCAGCTGTACTAGTTAGGAAAGAGGAGTTATCTTGAAGGCGAAGCTGTGGTGTTTAAGTGCACATGTGTAGGTGTGAGCATATGCAAGTTAATAATTCAGGAAAATGCTAACATGGCTGCAATATTTGTACCTGAAGTACAGTCCTATGCCATTTGTCATCCTCCTGCATATTCTGATGAATTTAATCTTGCATAAACTACAATCTAGAGAAGTGACAGATGTCAATTATGGTAATAAAAATTCACACCAAGAAATTAGGACCTCTGAAACTATCCTTGGAAACTATAGACCTTTTAGCTTCCCCCCAAAAAAATAAAAAATGAGTCACAGGAAAAGTGTGTTCCTTATGGCCAGCTAGATATAACTAAAACAAAGGCTTTGTTGAAATAGTATAAAAAAGCAAGACTACACAGAAATTTTTACTCCCAGAGAGACTATTATGTAAAGTCAACTTACATAAATAACATACCATATGGGGTAAATTTCTTTGGATATTCCATGACTGAGATTCTGTTTAGTATGGGACAGACACAGAAGTGCAGAGACTTCCTCTAGTGGATCCTCCAGCTTTGCATTCGCTTCTCTTACTGAGTGGCTTTTTTACTTCCACCAGTAGTGAGGACGAATGTTAAGGAAATTAAATTATGTTGCAGAATTATTTATTTGAAGCGCAAGCCCTATTATATTGTTTTGGGATCCTTATACAAATCATAAGGATGACACGCTCTAAACTTGTTCTAGAAAACGAACAGCCATGGGTAATAACATATTGTAGAAAAATGTAAAAAAAAAAAAAAAATTTAAGTAGAGCTCTTCAGGACTTCAGCCAAAACTTAGTGTAGAAATAATCAGAGGTGAGATAAGGCTTAAACTCACTGAGTCTTAAACTCTTTTCCTTCCAAGGCTAAAGGACGGGAGATGTCACCCTGATGTATACATACCTTGCTACTGCAGAAGTCATACTGTGGAGAGAATGCATACAGCAGCTGAAAGTGAGATTGAGATAAAGTGTGTAGAAAGTAGCAGCCTTATAGGTTTTCTGTAAATTAAATACTAAGGATTCATTTACTTAGTAAATTACATAGAATAATAACTCCTTAGCTGCTAAAAAACCTCATGCATTTTAGTGAACCCATACAGATTTACTGAAGCCAAGTATAATAAGAACTAGCATCAATTAGAGTTGTATTTCTGTGAGGGGAAGTTGCTATTCTAAGTATGTTCAAGTTATCCTCTAGGTTTTCCAAGTTTTGCTACCTGAGTTTAAATAACCAGCCATCAGTCTATAAAAGTATCATTCTGATCTTCTCAGGAGAAGCTTGATGGCTCCTGGGAAGAATTTTGGTACTGAACCTCCAATTCTCTCAGCAGGATAGCTTCCTCTGGCTACTTCTAAGTTTCATCCCATGGACAGGACACTTACCCTAAGAAAGGGACCTTACAGTCATGGAGGGCAGAGCTGATTCATTTCCAGCACAGCTGCAGCCAAGCGCTGTTCAACAGTAAAGCTGCACTGACGAGTAGCACTAAAACAAAACTTTTCCACACCATTATTTAGTACAGGAGACTTGCAGTCTGAGAAGTATATTTGCACTGGCTATTATTGGATAGTGAAGATGTCCTACTGCTTTTAGAACACAGCAGGGTTCATGCATTCTTCTATACTGAAAAGCACCAATTAGAGAGATTAAAGAGCCTGATTTAATGGCTGGGCCAGCGCTGAATTTTAGAGGACTTCTAAATTTGCAGTCCATTTGCAATTTCATTAACATAATTGGCAAAAAGACTTACTTAGATTTACTTAAATTGTTTTTATAGGTGCAGCATATCAACTAATTCTTTTGAAGCCTTTGTAGAGTCAGGAGCATCCTCAAAACTCTTTTTAAAGAGACTTAAGTAACACTTTAGCTGTACAGCTGAAGTGGACTCCTCCTAAGTGAAGGACTTGCTGAATGCAAATGCTGGATTACTTGGAATAGTTTAAATACCTTGTCTGTCTTCTGTTGAGCACTTATCTCCTTCATATGTATCAGCTGGCAGGCCTATACTGGTTATCTTAAATGACACAGTGCTCAGGGTAGACAACTAATCCATGCTATGGATCTGCCTGGTTCTAAAACAACATGTCTTGAAATATCCCTCCCATAAATAATTATAGTTCAGGCCTTATTTTCAAAGTGCAGAATAATTAGTAGAATTACTTATAAAAGATTTGGGTTGCTTCAGTCAAGTATACCTCCAACTGGTAGGTATAATTGCAAACACATTAAGTACCCTGGGTACACTCATAAAAACAGGAAAACATGAAGAAAAAACATAGATGAAAGCCTTTGTCTCTTTTCATGCTTTCTTCCATTAAGAGGAACCTAAGTTAAATCCTTTGGGTAAATTCTATTGCCTTTCACAAACATTTCACCTTGTATGTGGATTACATTTGATGATTTTGACATGAAAAGCATTTTTAAAATGTTTTAAAGAGAGGATCTGTATTAAATTTGGCTTAGAAGCATAATCAGACTGACCTTACTTTTGGGCTTTTTAAAACAGGAAATTACAATTCAGCCATGAAAGATCTGAATTTTTCAGTATAGTCCTTAAGCAAAAAAATCAGGCAGCTCTGTAATGTACTATTTTGGGGAAAGAGGAGAAAAATTGCTGTTTCCCATTGCTCCCTCACCTCTCTTCTCCTAAGGTTGGGTATGAGAGAGAAAGAGAATAAGGTCTTCTTAAATTCTTAAAAAGAATAAGGCCTAATAAAAATAAAATTTATTTTTAATCTGTCATTAAGTACATAAATTGTAATTTTACTAAAAAGAGACATGAACAATCTACTACACATTTCAGCAGGTGATTTTCAAAGTTACATAATCTGTTTAAATAAAAAAACCCAAGGCAAACCTCAGAATTTCAACCCACTTTACCTTTTGACTCTTGACACTGCAGCCATCACTATCAGTATCCATATAAAATTACTCTTAGACTGATAAAATGATACCTGTAACAGATGCTGACAAGGAATAATGTCCTATCACAACAAATACCTATGAAGGAGCCATTCCCTCCCCACAGAAATTGTACATTCCAAAGCAAAAAGCAGGCTGTTTTTCCACTAAATCTTACTAGGAAAAAAATTGACCAAACAAATTTCTTGATCAAGAAGATCTCTCAACAAAAATAGAGATGAATTTTCAGTAAACGAGCTGAAATAGTTAAAATAAGGGGGAATAAAGGTGTAGCTCTACCATGAGGGGATGGAACACTAAACAAAGTACTTCAATATACTGCTTGGTAAATTAGATTGTCATCCTAATTGTAATACTGGTGCACATATCATAATAAATATTAAAACAAATCTATATGAAATATCATCTTACCACTTATGCTTCCAGTTTCTCTCTGTAATCACAGTTAAGACCTCTACAGGACATTAGATAAAAAGGAAGAAATAGATAGCTATAAAGTCAGCCTGTGCAGATGGACACAGAAAAAAAATTCTGCAGTTCCAATCTTAAGAGCTTTTGTGCAGCTATTCATAAAGCAATATTAGAGTGGAAATAGCACATAAACAGTGTCATATACTGTTCTAAACAGTGTTTAGATATCTTTATTATCTCCTATAAATTGCTTTTCTGCTTTGGTAGGACAGTACTGCTACACAGATTGGGTCTGGTGGCTTGACTGAGAAAACCATTTTGCCAGCAGTGGTTCTTCTGTGCCCAGAGAGAAGGTAATGAAAAGTTGCATTACCAGGCACTGGCAGCTGTCCGTGCCAACAGCATGCCATAAAACAGCAGCAGCGTGGACTCAGCTTCTTGGGCCAGAATAGGAAGCCTAAACCTTTTCTTTTTTTCAAAATAAAACATTAAGACAGCAACCAAGAATACCTTTCTATGTTTCTGAAGGCATCATGATATAAATATTTGGTTAATAATGTAAGGCAAACTATATCTGAAAATACTAATGTTATAAACTGAGATTTATAAACTGACATACTGCAGAGCGCACCATTATCTTAATTTTTTATTTTTAGAGAAAGCAGATGTGCACTATAGGAAAGAGAGGAAATTAAGGAAAAAAATAGGGCTAATTTACCTTATTTTTAAGGACCTTTAAAAACTAAGCTTTATAAACTTCTTCCAAATAGTTTCCAACCAATTAGGTGGGGTTTGGATTAAGCGTCCAGATATTTATGCTCTTTGACATTTCAAGACTACTGCAGCACTCCAGAAAACAAACCATTTTCTTTAACCAGCTACAAATGTCATCATCACCTACAAGAGACAGAAGTGACATAGCATTGCTTTTTTTTGACATGAAGACCCAGCTACAGAGAGAAGATGATTAACAAATGAAATTCTGCACCTCCTGTACCTTTACTGAGTTTGTTTAAACATGTGTACATGTATTACCATATTTACTAATACCCACTGTATTACTGATTCATTCATTACAGACCCCTATTTCTCAAAATTAATCATAATTTACAGGGTCAGGAAATAAGGTCAAACAGACAACTTCAATTTTACCACAGCCCAACATCTGAGTGCTTGAATTTGAAACGTTTATGTTCCTTTAATATATCTGCTGAAGACATACTCACATATGCACCACATACAGTTCAAGTGATTGAGTTCTGGAAATTCAAAAACTGGATCAACTTAAAAGTCATGAAAACTGTTAAAGACTAACATCAAGGTATCACACTTTATGGATTTCTGCACTTGTAAAATATTAGGGGTAATTCCTCCCCATTTTCAAGTCTTTGAAGGATAAAAAATAAATCATAGAATTTCCAAGACCTTTCTAGAATGACTCTTCTTTAACACACATTGAATGCTTTGGTGGAGCAAAAAAAAACCCCACCTACACCTGTCTGGGGTGGTTTCTGTAAATTATACACTCTTCCTCAAGCTAAGCTGTAATGTTAAAGTCTATGTTTTATTCTATCCTACACAGGCAATTATGTATTTTAATTGTGGGAAAATGTAATGTCATTCTAGTAATGGTTTTGCATACTTGCCTTTTAAAAAATGAAACTTGTGATTGTTGATAATTTTGTCTTGTTATCCACTTGGGGAGAAGCTTTCTGCACATAGGAAAGGACAGACAGACTGATTTACTTTTAAAGCTGTACCAAAAGGCTTTTTTTCATTTCCAGGAAAAAAACCTGGTACGAGCATAGATTTTTTTTTTCCCATTCTAAAAAAAATATCTTTCAGCTGAAAAAAATTAAATCTATTGCCTCACCTTTGATCTGGTTCTAGTCTGACCATATTTGCAATATAGCTTTCCATTTCATCATGTCACATAATTTTTTTTATGGCATGAATCACATTCTCTTGATATACAACCAGGAAAATATTTTTGTTAGGACTTCTTTCCGAATTGGTGCAGCAGCTAGAAGATAAATTAGAGATTGCAATCAATAAAGCCTGAGGTAATATTTTTAATAATTCAATAAATCAAAATATTAAATAATTGTGTAAGTGGCAGGATTCATCCCTTCTATGCTCTGAACAAGGTAAGAGTCCCAAGAAAAACACTATGCAATCACAAAAATAAAGACTATAATGATAGCTTTTGAGTTCAGGCATTCTCATTTTCAAACTTAACGATCTTTTAATGTAATACATGAGTATAATGTCTGTAAGCATATAAATATACAGACACTCATGTATACATAAGTAGAACCACAAGCAATCAGCAAATTACTGTAACACCAGCTGTGTATATATAGAACTAGGAAGCTCAGAGTCACCAAATCGCTTCATAATGTGGTGGCTTCACTGCTTTCCCCTCCCCTCTCTCCTTCTATCATACATTCTGTGCTTCCTTTGGTTGCTCTTGTACTATCATTACAAGCTCTTTGGGACTGAGACTTTAAGCAACTTTTTTTCTTCCACATGATAAGGAAAAGCACGCAGCCAAATATTTCTGGTGTAGTTCTTTTATCTTTGAATAAATTCTGGTACCAATATCCTCAGTCCTTTAGTGGGCAGACATCTTTATCTATGAGGATGCCACTCCAGTAACAGAAACATGTGAGTAATTTTTCTTAAAATGCTCTTCAATGAAAATAAGGGTAACAGAAACTTTCCTGTGTGTCAGTCATAAAATAGTCTCAGATGACAATTCCAAGCTTTGCAGTGTTAATAGCAGGGAACATGACTCCTGTATTCCGGTAGCCGTGTACTTCAAGAAAATGGAAATTATGGACCAGTCACATTCCACTACTCGTTGCATCCTCTTGCTGATAAGCAATCAGATGACACAGAACCAAGCTCTCTGGTTTATGAGTACCAATTGCCAAATCATCCTCCAAGAGGATGAAAAATTGAAAAAAAAAATGCATGCAAAATGATAAAATAAGTGAGAACATTAATCATAATTAAACAGAAGCACATTGATTTTTGCCAGCTGGATTCAGCCACAGACTGTGGTGGGAAGGCTCTTCTCTCTTGGTTAACCCTCCTGAGAACTGTATTAATTCTTTATAATTAATTTCTTAGGTAATAGTGCAAATATTTGTCAAAACAGTTGATCCACCACAAAATTAAATATGGGGTGGGGAATAATGAAAACTCTAATATATTCAAAACAAAGATAAAAATACCCAAACTGACTGGGTCGATGGAGGGGGGAAGAGAAAATGTTCTTTATATGAATCGGTCACTCAAGCAAAGCAGAATTCCTTGGATCTGAAAAATGGTTCACCACCCATCCATTCCTCTACACAAAAGGCCTATCTTACACCACTGTTCAAGGCAGTTGCAATTAAATATATATTTATAGAGTCTTTAAACAAAGTATATTCATTATGTTCACAGTGACATTGCTCTGAAGGACGCTGCATAAATGGAAGCTGTGCTTACAAATGATCACTGCAGATAAACAAATATCTTGAAGGACTCACTCTGCACACAAAGGAAGTTGCCTTGCTTTGTTTATGGGGAGATTAGCTCCCTCCAGCTGACATAATACCTGGGAGATAAAATAACAAAAGGAAACACTTTGTCAAGAGTGTGAAATCAGATCCCAATGCACCTTCAGGAGAGTGCATCTGGGGCAAGTTTGTGGGGGCAAGAACCCTTTGTCTCCTTACGTGTCTATATAGCACATAACTGTGATTTGCATCTCACAGCATACATCTACATGATATTAACAAAAGGGTTACCAAATAAGGCTGAATAATGCTAGCAAATTGTAACACGGTAAAAAATAAATAATCAAATATTCCTCCCCCAGATCTACAAAAGCAGTGCTGCATCCATGCATCAGTTAAGTATTCAAACCCTATCAGAAGGGAGGAGTGAAATGATGTTTATCTCTAAGAGGTAATTTTACAGTTTAATGTAAAAGATCTGCCAATTATAGTACACTTCAGTACTAGAGTACTGTTCTCCTAAAACCTGAAGTAAAAATCTAAAGGATATACAGCAACTGTGTTTCTTTTCTTCATAAAGGAATTTCAGGATAGTTCCTACCATCTGCCAGAATCCCCAATACCAGCATTTAGCCCAAAGTTCACATCTTGTTGGCTGTCTTAACAGCTAAAACAATGATTTTCCTAGGTGTGATTCTTAACTTCTATCACACCTGTTGATCCAGGACAGAAAGGACTCCTGCTTACAGAGCTGTAGGGAAATTAAATTTCTTATACTGTTTCAGCTATGAATAAGAACAGCTCAGCTCATGTATGTCCTTTAGTGCTTTCCAGGAGTACAATAAAAAGAACTGCTGAACTGTCTTATGGGACTGAAGGCTAAATTACGGTTTTGTGGGCTGAGATATAGGAAAAAAAATGCCCCTAGTTTATCGGGGGGACTGCTAAACTTTAGAATATATTATTTGTACTGTAAAGCACTTTATTTCAGCAGTATATTTCAGGTGTACTGCTTTTTTTTCCTCATCTCTTTTCTGCTTTTAATTTTTTGGTGCTTCTACACCTATAACAACATCTTCCTCTGAGTTGTTTTGTCTCATAAACAGGATATTTAGTTGAAATGTAGTTTTGTCTTTCTTGATAAGGATTTAGCTAACTTACACACTGAGGTGTGCATATGATTGCAAAAAGCTGCAGTAGAACTTAAAAGTCCACTCTTTAATATGAACATAAAATTCAGATATGATTATCTGAATGTCTGTTTGTATTTTTGGATAAGTTTACAGTATTAAAACTAATCACATGTATGTTCTGCTTACTAGAAAGAAATTACTTTAAAAAGATTATTTTTAATATTTCCTCCTTCTCTGCAGGAGTTATAAAGCTATAAGTGTACAATGCTCTAGTCAGTTCTGTAATATCTGTAAAACTGTCCACAGTAAATAAAGTGTGTTGGGTTTTGGGTTTCTTTCAAGATAACAATATGGCTCTTACCAAAAGTTTAAAAAAAACCCTGTTTTAACAAAGAGTAAAGAACCTCATATCTTTTCTTAAGTATAAAATGCTACTTTTAAAAATGTACTTTCTTAAGGCTTATAAAGTATATAATAAGCAATAAAACCCATTTCCTAGAAGAAAACATCTCTGACTGAGCTGTTGCACAGTGCCTAAGCACATAAGCATTTAAAACATTTCTTCTTATTTCATTCCAAACGAAAATGAGTGCATTGAGTCTTCAGACTGGACACTGCAAACTCAATTGCCACCAAAAGAAAAAAAAAAGTAAACTGTTGAAAAGTGTGAGGTAAAGGGCATGACTTTCACATTGTTTAACAGTACCAGCAGTTCTGAACTCAGCACAGATGAGGGTACCTGCATCTGGTACAACTAAACAAGGAATTTGGTCTATAAATTGTATCTAATATTGATATTAAAAATATTTCATTAAGGAATTAACAAACATTTGCTTATAACCAGATTAACTTGATAGATTATTTGATTTTAGAAACCTTTCTTATTAGGCATGAAATACAATGGCAAGCCACTAGGAATCAATAAATCTCCACACCTTTTCGAATCAGCAAAGAAAGCATGGAACTAAACAAGGGGTTCTACTTGACAAGCAAGTTCCAAAACAGGGGGTAAAGACCATCAACACTGAAAGGAACCTAGGAGTAAAATACATTTCTGAAACGTTTTCAAGCATTCCACATTGTTTTTTAGACACTAGAAAAGAGGGAAGAGACATTTATTCTTAGTATAACTGAAATCTTAAGAGTCTAGTTATTAGTTCTAGAAGAAGAGTAGTAAAAATGCAGTTGAAGTTGTTGTACTCCTCTCCTGCTGTTACATTCCCTCTTCCCCTGGATCTCCTGATCAGTGTCCTTCCACCCTAATGCAGACGGGTGATAACAGTGACTTTGTGAGCATTTGGAGTCCTTGGCCAGAAGTCCAATGTTTAGGTTTATTATTTCTTCCCCCTCCTCTGGTTTCCCGTTAAGATAATTTTTATCTTTGCAAGCAAAGATTCTTTACTGTCTTCACTTGTTTGCAGCTCTAATTCTGCACCTGCATTTAGTATGTTATCTTTTAGATATATCAGGTACTGTATCTTTGCAACCTCCAAACCCACTTTTGTCCAGCTCTAGACTTGCATTTCTTTAAGTGACTGTAGGCGAGCCATTTACCACCACGGCCCTCCAGTACCACGCCCATGCCCCTTCCCTTAGTGCCTTATACCAATAATCCTCTACGGCTCATCTTCGGTCTTCACTTCTCCAGGGCCTGTGGTACCTAGCAGACCTGTTCACCTGTACAGTACATCACTGTGGTTCGGGCCCAGAACACCTCGTTCTACACAGAGTAACAACAAAATGCAAACCTATGGGTGCACCACATAAACAAAAGTTAGAAACAGGCACCTGGTCCGCTGGCAAAACCCGCTGCTACAGCTGAACCAATTTAAACACAGGTGCGGGCAGGTGGGCACTGCCAGTTCTGAGCCCTTGTGAACTCGCCGCCGCAGCGCAGTGGCAGCCGTAGCGATGGAGGGTCCGGCACGGCACGGCACAGCCCGGCGCGGCACAGCACGGCAGCGGGGCAGCAGCCGAGGACGCGGTCCTGTGCCCGCCGCGGCCGCGCCAAGGTCGGCGGCCGCCGGCAGCAGCCGCAGGGATGTTGCCGGCGGACACGGTTTCAGCTCAGTGGAATTCCCCTGGAAAAAAGACATCTTCCACTAAATGTTTCTTATTTTGAACAAAGCGCCCTGGTGCGAAACTCCACATTGCTGCGCTCGCGGGGAGCGGGCAGGCACACGCTCCCAGCCGGCCGCTGCACGGCCGCTCCCCAGCCCGCTCCCGTTTCCCAGAGCGGCCGGGCAAGGTTGGCCCAGCCGCGCGCGTTACCAGCACCGGCACCCTCCGCCGGGGCTGGAGCGCGTCCCGGAGAGCCCGCGGCGCTGCCGGGCGGGGACACCGGCCGCGGGCACAGCGAGCACCCCGCCCGGCGGGGACAGCGACCGCGGGCACAGCGAGCACCTCATCCGGCGGGGACACGGGCGGCACGGCCGCGGCGCGGCTCCCGCCGCCCGGAAGCGGCGCTGCCGCGCGGAGTGTCTCCCATTGGCCTGTTCCCGTCACGCCGTCCCGCCCCCTCGGCGCGGCGCGGGCGGCCATTGGCTGGCGGCGGTGCCAGTCGGCGAGGGCGAGCTCCGCCGGTGCCCGCGCTCGCGCGGCGCGCGCTCTGCCGGCTGGTGCGGCTGCGGGCGGAGCAGGGATGCGCCCCGGCTGCGGGAGCGCGGCGCGGAGCGGCGGCAGCCCGGGCGGCCGAGGGCGGCGAGCACGGCCGGTAAGGTCCGGCGGGAAATGCCCGTCGTCGTGCGCATCTCGTGCGTACGGTTCTGAAGGGGCCGCTGGCAGCGCCGGGGAGCGGTGCCGGCACGGGAGGAGCGGAGAGCAGGCGGGATGCTGGGATGCCGGGATGCCGGGGGCGGCCGGCGGCGCTGGGCCGCGGCGGGCAGGGGTCGCGGGCGGGCGCGGTCCCCTACCGCCCCTCGCCGTGCCCTTCGGCGCGGGGGTCCCCGGGCGGGACCGGCGGTGCGGTGGGAACTTCGTCTGCCCCCGCCCGGCTGGCGGCGGCCGGTGGCGCCGGCGGGTGCCGCGGCGGGGGGCGACATCAGCCCTCCTTAGGGGCTGCGGCGCTGCCCCCCCGCCCCGCCGCCCCGGGAGGGCCGCCGAGCGGGGGCCCTGCTGTGGCCGCGGGGCCGCCGGGGGTGCGGCCGGGGAGGCGGTGTCGCGGGTCCCGGCGGCGGCGCTGCCCCGGGCGCGGCCGTGCCCCGGTGGCGGCAGCGCGGCCGTGCCCCGGGCCCGCGCTGGGGGCGCTCCGCGCGGCCGCGCTGTCCTGGGGCGGCGGGCTGAACTTCCCTTCGAGCGAGGATTTTACTCGAAGGTGTTCCTGGACGCCCGGCGAGGAGAGTCTCGCAGCCGAAGGCGGCAGCGGTGCTGCTGTGGCCGCAGACTGGGTCTTAAAGTTGTTAACACAGTTACCGCAAAGAAAAGTTATTTTAAAGTCAGCGTATCGGTGGCGGCTGGTACATGGCCACTGGCTATTGAGACGGAGGAATTAGAAATAGGAAATCCTTACCTTTATCCTTTATCCTTATGCACTCCTTTCCATTGTTCTTTTAGCGGTAGAGACAATACTGGAAGGTTTTGAAGTGTTGTCAAATCTTGTTAATTTAGATTAAAACAGCATTCAGGTGTTCTTTAGAGATGTTGTAAACACTAAGTATCTTGATTATGTAACATTTCAAGGAATCTGCCAAGATGTTGCCAGACTTCGTGATGAAGAACCTGATTTTCCAGTCATGGAAATACAGAGGAGTTTTGACATTGATTCGGTAGGAAGCAGGATAGCATCCACAATTAACAGACCAAGAGAAATTAGTTCTTGTTATCTGTTGGTTATTTTACATCTCTTGGGTTTGGGTTTTTTAAACATTTACACACTGTGCAGAAAATGTAAATAGTGTTTAGTTTGATTCGGGGTATATTTTGGTTCCTCTGTACCTTTAAGTTTCCTTTTCCACTTTCTAGGAGTGTATTGATCTTGTTCACTTATTCTTGATAGAGTATTCTGATTAGTTAGTTATAAGGACGTGTTCAATCACGTGATGCATAACGTGTTTTCAGAAATGTTTTAAATTATGATAGATGCAAGGGTGAATAAGCAGTGCAAACACCATTGCAGCACATGCATGCTCTGCTTTGGGGAGCTAAAGCCCATTTTTAAAGCTTTGGGGAAGGCACAAGTAAGTGTAAAAAATTGGAGGTGTGGAATTTAGAGCTGGCACAGGTTAAATATTGTTCCCTCCCTGCATAACTACTCACTAAATAACATTTTTGGCAGAATATAAATTGTACAAGAACTGATATTGTACATCTCTAATTCTAGATAGATTGTACAGGTTCAGCAAATGTCATATTGCCAAACCATTTTTTCAGTAAACCTCATTTAGTGAACCTGATTCAGTGTCATCAGAGTATTTTACATTAATGTAGAGAACAATCCTCATCCAAGTATGTCATACACAGCCACGATGCAGTGTCTGAGATGCACTCAGTTTTGCTCATCTGTCTCATAACATCACCCATTTTTTCCTCATGTGCTTTTTTAGGAAAGAAAATCCCAAATTTTTGTGGTTGTTTTGTGGAAGAGAGCAGTGAAATCTTTATAGAGATTACAGGCTGAAAACACTAAGCTTTCCCCTCACTCTGCTTTGTGAGTGACACCAAATTTTAATCTAAATATTTAGCTTGTGAATGGGTAAACTGTAGAACCTTCAGCACATGAGTAGACTTCATTTGTGACAGTCATTTCAGTGGGGCGGTTCCCAAGAGAACATGTATACAGGAGAATGTATGCCAATGATCTTTGTCTTAAATACCCTTTTTCCATGCACTGCTCTAAGGAAACCTTTTCTAAACCATCAAAATATTTCAATGCTGTCATGTCAGAAGGGTGCTCAATTCAGTGTTTATTCATCTTTGTCTGTTAGTAAGTAATGAAATTTTTTGGAGCAGCAATCATTCCACCACTGAAGTCAATATAAGTGTATTAAGTATTTACTTGTTAAAAATATTAATCGGCTGTAAATTTATAAAATTCATAAGTATTATAATTGCATAATGCTTATACCTAGTTAAAAGAGGAGAATGCAGAAGTTTCAGAAATTTTTAGCTTGCTTTTCATGATTTTCTTCTGTATAAAAGAAAATTAGTCCATCTGTATGCCTCCCAACACTCTGAGATATCCTGATTTTTCCAAAGCTGCTTTTGTAGTAGTAATTTTTATAGGATAGTTTCGCCATATGTCACATAATAAGAAATCTGGAACTGAAGCAGTCAATTCTGTCATGGTTTCCACCATGTTGCTTATTTAGTTAAACAGATAAAGATGGATAATAAAATAATATTGATGTAATTTGCCATGACTAGTAAGAAAATTATTTCTTTTGATACAGCTAGGGAAAACAAGTGGTATGCTTTTTAGAACTAAGTGTATTTTAGAAATAAGTACATATGTGCATTCAGTTGAACCAATGAAGGGTTGCAGAAGCTCAGGGAAAACATGAATGAATGATGTATCTCCTAGTTGCATTAGATTATACAAATGGTACACCGATCTGTTTGGAACAGCTAATGCTGTTTTTGAGCTGCATAGCTGTTAGCCGAGTCTCCATCAAACACAGCAACTCTAAATGCTGATGTATGGCAGCTCTGCAGAACTCCAGATACACAGAAGTATAAAATGCCTCAGCATCCAAGTGTTCCCTTTGTTGCTTGCCCACAGGCCTCAGATGTTTCCACACAGTGATAGTATCTGCTGCTGCCTAGCACTGCCATGGGCATGGTAACCAGGAGTGCTCTGCTTGAACACTCTGTCTCCTGAGAATGCCTTTCAAGGAACTTAGAAAAGGAATTAAACAGGAACTTAAACAGGAATTCAGCTCCCAGTGCTGAGAACAGCTCTTCAGCAGAGGGAGAGAGGCAAAGATGGGCAGGTTGTTCTTTGGCTGACAGACTGCAGATGTGTTGGTGGAAGAGATCAGCTTTCCCCAGCACACCAGGAGAAAGAAAGGATTTACAAGGGTCTTGGGCCTTTTTTAGCCTACTTTTAATACAGAGATGAATCAAGGTGTGATCATGAATACATTACAGATCTTGGTTATGAGACACTCCTCTTCTTGTATCACTACCTAAAATTTAAAATTGCCAGGTATTGCATGTGTAGTGGGGAGTGGACACTTTTTAACCCTCTTGCATTCTGATTTTTGTAGCTCTCAAATCAAACTCCCAAACTAGATAGCGGGAACAATCTAGATATCTGTAATAGTTACTAATTAAAACTTACATTAATATTACCTTAAGGATTAAAATGTGTAATTTAATGCATATATAAGTGTATAATTTAAAGCATCACTACAAATATTTATTAAATACACAAGTATGTATTTTTTGCACTAGAAGAAGTTACCAAATACTGGTGAGGGAGGTAATGGTGAAGAGTGCAGTGAACGAAGAAAATGCTACATAACTGAAATCTTGTGAGAATACTGTTGAGCTACATTTATTAATTTCTGTGGAATGTTGCCATTATACCTTTTCCCTTTGCAAGTGCTCTGTATTATCAGTAGTCTCAAAGTATTGTAATTATAATATGCCTATTTCATGTATAAACAGTAGAGGAAGGCAGAAAACACCCGATAGATACTGACTTTTGCACTCAAATTTTTAAGACTGCCATCTGAGTACCAGCAGGCTTTAACTCTTACTGTCTTTTGAGACTTACTTTAGTAAAAATGTGAATGACTTACATGGCTAACCTTGCTTCCCTTTGAGCAGTTCTGCAGCTCAGCTCTTAAGAGAGGCTGATGTTTGTTTCTTTTGTCCCTCAGCAGGTGGCTACAGTTTCACTGAAATAGCTGATCTTGCTGTGGCACAACATCTGTGGCTTTCTGGGGTCACACTGTTTGGAGTAATGCAAATATTTCCTCTTGGTTCTGACCCTTATTTTTGTTTAAAGATACAGTACTGTTTTATTGCTTAGCATAGGATGTTGTCTTGGAATTTATACTGAAGGACTGCTGTTATTCAAATCTGACCTCCATCTTCCACAGCTGCTAAGAAGCAGGGGTGTAACTTTTGTGGATTTTTCAGAGCTCAGTAGAAGATACTGAAGGCAACTGAAGTGAAGAACATCAGGAAAGCTCTGCTGTGTCAGACCAGTGCACCTTCATACTCAGGGTTCAGTCTCCAGCAGTGAATTAAGGGATGCTGTTAGGGACTACACACAAACCTCGCTGTTTTATGAACCTGTTCTCTTGTACTCTTCCTGCATACTTGTTTGTCATATTACAGATGGTGGGTATATATCTGCTCAGTGGTTTTAGAGCCCATTTGTGGACCTGCAGACCAAGAACCTGTCTTTTTCAAACTTGTTGCTTTACTATCTTCACAGCCTCATGTGGCAGCAAGTTCCAGAAGTTTACCACTCCCTTTGTAAAGAAGCACTTAATTCTTTTATAAACTGATGTTGTGCTAGCTTTGTAAAAGGTCCCTTAGTTCTATTACTAAAGGATTTAGCAAGCAGCTTTACATTAGTTTATTTACCATCTTCATTATTTGATTGATCATATCTTGCTTCGGCCTTCTTTTCTAACTAAAGAGCCCCTCAAGTCTCTTTTCCTAAGGCAGGCACTCCATCCTTGTGATATTTTGTTCTCTGACTAGAGTCTATTCTTGAGATGCAGAGACTAGACATACTTGAGATGTGGACGGACTGAGGTT